ACCCTAAACCCTAAACCCAGAACAGAGCATGATAGGCATCTAATAATCATATACTTACCCAAAACCCAACACCTGCACTATAATTACTATTACCCAACACCCAAGTACCTAATTATTGGTTACTTGGACCCTCTGGGATAGGCTAGACCCTAGACCCTAAACCCTAAACCCTAAACCCTAAAGCCTAAACCCAGAACAGAGCATGATTCAATGATAGGCATCCCTGGGATTTTGTTGCGGATTTGCGGCCAGCTTCAACGCTCCGCTCTCTGGGATCCTCTTTGCTATGGAGGCTAGACCTTAAGGTTTAGGGTTTCAGGGTTTTAGGGTTTAGGGTTTCAGGGTTTCAGGGTTTCAGGGTTTAGGGTATGGGGTTTAAGGATTTAGGGGCTTAACCATATTCATGGGCTACTTTAACCCAAAGTACTAGGAAATTAGGGCAAAGTTGCCTATGATTATGGGTAACTGGCTTTCTAGGTAGGGTTCTACGGGTTCAGCAACCAGGGTGGGGGTTTTAGGGTTCAGGGTTGGGTTGAGGGTGCAATGCTTAGTGTTCAGGGGTTCGGGGTTAGGTTTTAGGGGTCAGAGGTCAGGGTTGGTGTCTAGGTTGCAGGTTCAGGGTGAAGAGTTTTGGGGGTTGAGGTTTTGGGCTTAGGGTGTAAGGTTTAGGGCTTACCCGTGCTCAAACTGGAATTCAGGGTTTAGGAATGGAAAAGAAACGGAAACTGCTATCTTATTCAAGGTTTCTGGTTTTGGGGCTTCTTCGCCTAAGGGAGGGAGAGGAAAGATCGGTGCTGTTCTAGCGATCATGCAGGGTTTACTCCACTACTGTATTTTCGCTAGCGCAGAGGACGGGCTTTCGATATTAAGTGCTGTTGATGGAGGAAATCTTGCAGCGTAAGAGGTTCCATGCAACGGCAATTTCCAGGATCTTGCGTGCGGGAGGTGCTGCAGGATTTCCTCTAGCATCATTACTGCGTCAAAGTCGGAAGCTCAGGATTTTGAGTTGCTACAGTGCTCTTTTAAGAATTGAAGAAGGATGTCACAGGCTCGTATCAACATCAGGGGTGGCTTCTTGCAAAGGCTCCCGTACCAAATTTTGATTTCCAGTGCCTACTTTGGCGTCTTCTTCAAGTCCACTTACTTGCGAATAGCAAGCAATGTGAGTCCCGACTGGTTTGGAAGTATTCCTTCATGTGTGCAGATGATAACCCCAGATTTTTTTTTACGTATTTATGCGCATCTTTTAGGGGGCATCGTAGGGGTTCCGGGAAGCTCGGGCAGTTGCAGGAGCTCTCGCATGTGTCGTCGCGCTTGACAACGCGGGTGATATGTATCATCCTTGTTGGATCCATCATCTCCACAGCCGCTGCCGGTCTGATGTTTGGGAGGGTTGCTTCTGTTCGGGGCCTTAAAGTCAGAAGAAGGATCTGCGGCACATTTCCCATAAATACTTTTGGACGGTTTCTGGGATAGGTAATCAGTCAGGTTTCTACATTAAAGCCATAGCTGTGATCGAAAAGCTTGTGCTTCTACAAGTTGGCTTCGGCTAGGAAAAGATCAGGTGTTATATCAGAGGGCTAGACGAAGCATTAGGTCGTAGTATTATCAGAGCGCTAGACAGAGATTCGGTCATAAGCCAAGGCTATAGCAATCAACCCTAAACCCTCCGAACTCGCTGTAGCGTTTCCACAGCAGCGGTTGCGATACACATCCCTCTATTCGCCCCGATGACGCATACGGACCACGCGCTGCGGACCATAGGCTCCACATCCTATGATGATGCTGCATAGGACTCTTGTTGAACATCTCGATTGACTCGATTGCAACATCCACCCCTTGAACCCTGGGCTCTCATCTCTCTAATTACCGTAAGGCCATACCCCTAAACTCTAAGCGTAAGTTGTGGTGGGAGCTTTGAGGCGCAAAGCTTCGACCTAACCCAGGTCATGCGCGGATTCCTGGAAAACAAAGTTCTTTTCAAAGCTGTCTACCCGGATAACTTGGAAGATATGGTGTCAGGCCTGGCATGAGGAGGGTGTAGGGTTTAGGTTTTAGGCCTGGCATTGGACCCTACCTGGGTTGACATAGGGTAGGTAGTCCAGGGTTTTCTATTCATAAGGGTTGATCTAGGCTTCATAGGGTCAATATGGGCTTTCTATTTACAGTCCAGGGGCTTAGGGTTTAGCTTTGAGGATTGGGGGTTTAGGGCTTTTGGAACAAGACGGAACCACATATAGCAGCCTCTTGTAAGGGACGGTCGTCTTGGTAGATCCCATTTGGGGCTTCCATAGTTTCGGCGGAGGGCATGTCCAAAACCTGAAACCCTTCGGGTTTAGGGTTTGAGGGGTTCAGATTCAAGGCTTAGGGTTTAGATTCAAGGCTTGAAATCATCCGCTTCAAAAACCCAGACAGAATTACGGAGCGTTGGACGGAGGGAGCCCTCGGCTGCGAAAGGCCCACTTGCAGATAGCCTTAGTGTGGTTGAGATGAACTGCCCTATGTGGTCCCCAAATCATGGCCCCATAAACCCTACACCCACAACCGCGTGTTTCCTTTCAACGCCCCCTCTAGTGCAACTGCCTGCCTTGCGCCATGTCTGTCAGGAGGGGCTGCTAAAGCGGAGTGTCCATTCAAGCACGAGGAAACACTCCTCTTGTACCACCCTAAATTCTGAACCCTAATGTACTTGAACCCAGTTATAAAGCCCATAAAGCCCCTGACGTGGTGGTAATCCATCTGTATAGATATGTATATATATATATATCTACATGTCTTACCCTAGAATTTACCATGCAGGCTTCTTATCTCGTTGCAGCTTCCGTTAAGAGGGTAGAAGTCTTAAAGCCTCGGCTCCAAATCGTGAACCTGAATCCGCACGCGAAATTCCTAGCCTTAAACCCACCCTACAGTCCTAAATCCTAAGCCCAGAGCCCCGAAACCCCAAACCCTAAACCCCAAATCCTAAACCCTAAACCCCAACTGTGGGTTGCGGGGGATCCTCCAGTTTCAGGTGGGTCTTTGGAAACGATTTTCGGAAAGAGCATGTGGATGCTGGTGTCCATTGGTATTGGCGCCTGGGCTAGGTAGAAGCGATGAGGTTCGTATGCCTGGACGCAAGGGAATACGCTACTGGAATACTTTGGTGATCGGGGCTGGTAGTTTTGTGTGTCTGCGTGTCCAGGAGTACGTTCGGCAATCGGGGCCTGCCACGGTTAATGTTTTCTGGGACAGATCCTGCTTGCGGCAATGCCACGGCCCTTCCCTTCCGGAAGGGGGGGGGGTACAGCAGTGCGAAGAAGAAGAAGAATTACCTAGAACTTCATGGGATGGGATCCTTTGCGTTGGTTCGTCTCCTGTCCTGAGGTCAGGAGTATGGGCCCCTAATATGGGCCCTTTGGCCTCTTACTGGGATTCTGAGGACCCTTAAAGGTACAAAAAGGGTATATAGTAGGTATGTAGGGATCCCAAGTTAAGGGCCCATACTAGGGGCCCACGGTTTCAACCTTAGACCCGTATGTTGGGCATCCAGGGCCTCTTCAGCAGGAGCGCAGGCCTGTCAAAGTAGAAGAAGACCGCCCTGAACCCCAAGCCCCAAAACCTAAGTCAGGGGGTTCAAAAGGTGGGACAAAGCTAGGTGGGTTCAAGGATCCCTAAACCCTAAACACTATTGTAGATTCTAGTATATCGGCGCTTCATTCCTTCACCCCACCTACCTTCATCCCACCTTTTGAGCCCCCCTGATTCAGCCAAGCCCTACAGCTTCAAAAGCCCCAAAAGCCCAAACTAATAAGTCGATCCCAGGCATAAAGAACTCTAAGCCCGAAACCTTATATGCCCCCCCATATATATATATATTACAGATCCCTATATATCCCTACATATCCCTATATATCCATATATAGCCGTGTATGGCCCTATATACCCCTATATATATATATATACCTATATAGCCCTTTATGTATCCCTACATAACCCCCAGGAGATCCTGTCATCCAAGGCTTGCTGTGTGCTTTGGTGGGCTACATCTTCCACAAGGTCGACGGCCTCATGGGGGTTTCTCAAAAACGGGTGCGCTAGGGACCTAGGGATTTATAGGAATCGTTGGTGTTCCTTGTTAGGCATTGTGGGGGGGTTCAACATGTGTGTTCCCGGAAATTTTAGGGGGTATCCATAATGAGGAATAAAGTCTACGGGGGGGGGGTCCATGCTGAGGTCCCCTCAATGGAAGCTACCACATTTGGGACGCAGAGTTTAGGATCCATTGCCATGCATTGCCTAAATGTTATCCACTTCTTCGAAACCCTTGAAACGGCGATTCAATTTTCAGAGCTTGGAGTCTAAAGAGACTTCTTAAGCACGCCTTGTGTTTGCAAGTCCATATAGAGACCTCCCCCATAATCCTTTATAACCCCTGCATATCTGTTGGGATATTATGGCAACTTCCCTCTTGGAAAGCAGGCCACTGTTTCAATCCCAAGCTTGGTTCTCAAAATTCCAGAGATTTTTCGTGCGACTGAGGGTGCGGCAGAAGTTCTCCGCCAGCTTTTACTATTACCATTGCTTTGGCTCTGACTATTTAGCTGTAGTCTAAGCTCCTAGTATCCCGCTTGGTAACCCCCATAATAGTCCCCTATCTAATTCCCCATATAACCCCCTTTGAGGAGTTTAGACCTCAGCTCATTTGCCTAGAACACAAAGCGTCTGCTGTGACTCATCCGGTCAGGGGTTTGCCCTGACCCACTGGCTGCTGACCAAGAAGGTCTATCAGCTGTGCCCAAGATTTCTAGCCTCATGGCGGCACTTAAATTTTAGTTTCCTTTGATTTCCATTGTCCTTATATAATCCCTACAACCCTAGAAAATCCCTTTGAAGCCCCAACATCCCGTTTAATCCCTAGGAGCCTGAGCAGTGCAGCCATTCAAAAACTTCACGACATGCTTTCTTTGACTTGATTTTTTGAGTTTAGGGTTTAGGGCTCAGCATTTAGGGTTTAATTAGGATTTAGGGTTTAACATCGAAGGAAGAGGCCATAGTCCCCCTTATGTAGATAGAATATGGGGTCTATAGGGATCTTATTATAGTATACCCAAAGCCCTGTTCTATCTTCTTAAGGGGGACTATGGTCTCCCCTCAAGAGGTCCAGCATGCAATCCGCTATCAAGGCTAAGTTGGCAGGCTGTGCTATATAGGGTTTAGGGTTTACGGTTTAAGGGTTTAAGGTTTAATAACTCATTTTAGGGTTTAGGGTTCAGGGGTTTTCCAAAATTAGGGGTACCATTTTAGGGGTTCCCATAGTAGGGATTCTAATATGTTGGGGTCTATATTGGGGTACCGTATTGGGGAACTGCCATATGAAGGGATCCGGAGCGAGTCGCACCCTTATAGTCCCCGTAAGGTGATAGAATATGGGGTGTATGGGGGTCTTCTTATAGTATATCCAAAGCAGCATTCTATCTACTTAAGGGGGACTATATGCTTGTACCCTCCCCAGAAGAGTTTCTTCACAACATAGGCCCGGACATAGGGTCCAGCTTCCCTGTCCGCTTGAAATTATTCTAAATTACCCTGGACAACAGTTTGACAAGCCTCAACACGGACTGGTCCGAGCCCATATGCGTAATAGCATTCCATGAAGGGATATTTAGTGCCCAATATAGAGTAAGATTATGCCCTGCTTTAGTTATGCTGTTTTGGAAGCAGACGATATTCTTACTAGGTTCAACCACCAAGAACGCTACTCACTCATTTCAGGTTTTTATGATCCTGGGCGGAATGTCAGCTGGTATCGGAGCACTTGTCTTCCACCTGACAGGCCGGGGGATCAACAGAGAATAGGTACTGTAGGAGGTTGAATAACTACCAATATTATGGCCCTTTGTTCCTTACATGGTCGTTTCTGTACAGTAAATAGGGGGACCCTAGTATAGACCCCAAAATACTACCATCCTCATCATTGCGACCCCCAAAATGATGCCCCAATTATGGGAAACCTCATATACTTTTGGTAATTATACGGACCTCAAAATGATATGGGCCTCTGCATGAGTTTATTTCATTCCCGGCCAAACCCGAAACCCTAGACCCTGTATACTGACAACGTTCACACTGTAGACATTGAGTTTCAGATGTTTTCTTCACCACGCAATCCTCACAGGAAACTCCCAAGAGCACATGTCTCACCTGGGCCCTTGCTTTTGCATACGGTCTCTTTAAATTGTTCTCAGACCCCCGATGGTTCTGCCGTAGTTCGGCTTGTTGAAGGCTAGTTAAAGCTTATTAGCCCTTGACTTTTGGGGTAGTATAGCGGGGGAAAGGGAAGCCAGGATTAAAGGATTCTGCAATTACACATGCTGCGCATGGCAGGAAAAACCCTGGTCTGCGTCACGGGATCCATAGGACACAGCAAGATCAAGGATGTGACCTACACTCAGACCCCATTTTTACTTAAACCGTAACTCTAAACAGCACCCGCACAACCCGCCCCACAGACAAGCCACTGGACAACAGACATGTGGTAGCGCCACCTACCAAATATCCTTCACAAACGTTGAATTGAAGCACATCATGTACTAATGGTGTAGTGCTACACAGACATGCCAGGGGTATATGCTGTAGCATGGGCTACTACAGCTTCAGGAGCATAGGGGCATGCGCCGGAAGCTCTCCAGGTCTGTGCTCCTTTCAAATTGCTCGAATTTCCTGGGACTTCTGCACACAAACACAAATGTTACACCATATGCCGTTACACTTATATCACCGTTGGATTTATGGTTTATATGTTTCTTTTCTCTGCCGGGGCATTGGACTGGATCGTAGTCGTGTGATGTGGGCACCGCGACGGGTCCAAGGGAACCTGAATGTAAAGCTTGGACAGTAGTTTAGGGCGTCAAGGTTTAGGGTTTAGGGAAGAGAGCTTGGATATGGCCCCTACCCTACCGCGGTCATGTGTATGATACTCGCTAAGCGTATCACATGGCAACACATGATGGACGTGTTAAAGGCTAAGACAATATGAACGCGAAGATACTTAGGGGCTCAGGGGATTGGGTAAATAGGTTATATTGGGGTTATATTAGGGCTATATTGGGGTCATATTGGGGTTATATCGGTTTATTTAGGGGTTTTATAGAGGTTATATAGGGCGTATATGGGGACTTATCACCCCATCTGTAAGCTAAGCTACTTACTAAGTCTTCCAAACCTTCGCGTACCGCCTTTGATCCCAATTACCTACAGCTTTGAAGGTTCTACGGTAGCTCTACATGCTCAGGCCCCTACACCCCGAAACCCAAAAACCCAGAACTCTAAACCCTAACTCCCTGCACCCCTTAACACCTAACCCCTAAGCCACTAAATCCTTAAGCCCTAAACCCAAATCCCTAGGCCCCTCAGCCCCAACCCCTCAACCCTCAACCCTAAATCCCTAAATCCCCAAACCCCTGAACCCCAAACCCCTCAACCCCTAAATCCCTAAACCCCTAGACCCCAAACCCTCAAAATGGAAGGCCTTCGTGGAGTTTGGGGTATCGGCATCAAAGACCTGGGCGAGGTCTTGGTACAGAATCCAGAGATTAAGGCTGGCGCTGATCTCCTTTTGAGCTACAGGGATGGAAGAAATCTTGCACCGCTTGAGATACCCAAAGCACTGCGATTATTGGGGCATTTGGTATATAAGGTGGTGCAAAATATCATCCATCCAGAGTAGGGCTGAGATTCTTAGGTTTAGGGTCTAGGGTGCAAGTTTAGGCATTAAGTGGTTGAGGAGTGAATTGAGTTTCAGGGAGACAAAATCATGCATGAACCTAGAACCCTAAGGAACCCTAAGCCACAAGCCCTAAACCCTCACCCTTCCATTATTCCAATATAACCCCTACATAATCCCCATACAATATAGTAGCTTCCATTTTCCTTTCCATTATCCCAATATGACCCCGCTGCAATGTACGTGAATCCTAGGAGTCCTGGTGCCATGGTACACTTGGTAGTTGCCACAGATAGGGGGACCCCAACAAAAGATCCCAAACATATTATGATGCGGTTTAGGGTAACAGCACTTCTATTATTACTATTCGTCGTCGTCGTCGTCGTCGTCGTCGTCGTCGTCGTCGTCGTAGTAGTAGTAGTAGTAGTAGTAGTAGGAGGAGGAGGAGGAGCAGTTAGCAGCAGCAGTAGTAGCAGTGATTGTAGCTCTGTTTCCCAATTTGACACATGAGGTTGATGCAGGCCTGACATCATTGCAGCACTTCATAGAATTCAAGTCGCTTAACGTAGGAGCCTGCCAGCTATTGTGTAGACTTCTTCCCAGAATCCATAAATAGAAGCCCACTACAGGTGGGATGTTTACAAGTGGGTAATCCCCAAAGTACTCCCAGAAGGACTCCCCATAAACCCTAAGCCCTAAACCCTTAAAACCCCTGTGCCATCAAGAAGTGGTGCAGAAGAGTCGATTGGAGGCTGCCCACCTGTAAACTGCCCAGCTGTAATGGGCCACTTCTACTGACTGGTGGTTAGTAGGGAATATGGGAACACATTATATAGGTATTATATTTCCCTTTTCCCTACGAACCAGAAGTAAGTCTAACACCCCTTAAGCCATTTACCGATCGACCGACTGGAGGCCAGCGATCTCTTGATTTTCGCTCTGGGCAAGCTCGCAGCTTTCATGCTCGGCGTATCTGCCCGCTTCCCAGGGGATACTTTGGAGCCTTGGATCCAGATCAGTAGACTTTGATGCCATTCTTTCACAAATAGTAGGGGCCATAGAGCATAGGGGATCTTCGTTCCACGTCAGAAGCATCCATTTTGCACGCAATCCCATTGCAGACGGGTAGCTTCCATGGTGCTGCCCCCAGACCTTCAAGAAGACCTCCATAACTTATAAGAGTTAAATCTAAGACCTATGAGCGATTACCCTAAACCCTAACCCCCAACAAAAAATCCTAGATGTCCAGGAGCCAGTATTGATTTCTGGCGGATTCATCGGCGGCTTCGTAGGGAAGATCCTACCAACGTCCATGCTCGGGGAAGATGCCAATGCAGCCTGTGAGATTTTTGGTATGGTGGGCCTCTTCGCAAGTTGCCTGGTACCCCAGTAGTACCTTTTTCCCCTTTTTATTTTGCCTTCTTATTAAAGCTGAACATTAGGAAAAAGGGTACCCTGATTATGAAGGGGTTGCTGGGGAACCCTAGAACCTAATCCCTAAACCCCAAACCCTAGACCCTAAACCCTAATCCCAAACCCGAGAGATTTTACACGGGAACCTAGGTTGCTTCAGATTCCCGCTGACTCCGGTCGTCATCGTGTGGGGCGGTCAGTTCAGCATGCAGAGCATAGGATCCTGCATGCTCCCATTCCCACAACTGTAAAGTCGCACGCAATTCCACTTCTTTTCAGGGACGTTTCCCTGTAGTTTGAAGAAAACTTTTAAAAACACGGATGATGCCCTTCTTCTTCCCCAAGCTATCCGGGTATCCTCCAGCCCCCATTCGCCCATGGAGCTTCTTTGTGCCAGGGTGCTCGGCAGCTGTTGCAAGTATGGTGGGTACTGGGGGGATATTGACTGTAAACGTACGCCCTACATACCGCCTCATCGAATCCTCTGGTTGGTGGGGAATATCCTCCCTGACTTGAGGTTTACTACAGTATGCCGAGTACCTAAATCAGACATGTTGAAATTGTTGACCTTGGCTCATGTGGGGTGCTGGGAGGTAGCCGCAAGTGGAAGGGTTGAAGCTGCCGAGCTACACCCTTTAACTGTAAACCCTTCACCCCTTGAGACCTAAACGTGTAAATCGATTAGCCTGAAAGTCTCAACCCTGATCTCTACTCGGAGGGCTACACGGACGTACAACCTATTCATAACTGTACTTAGAAGCCAGTTTAAGTCCTCTAATTAAAATTGTGGTTTCGTTACAATTTCCATTCTAAGTAGGTTATGCTTACAGTCCCCTTTAAGTAGATAGAATATGAGGTATACGGGGATCTTATTGTAACATACCCAAAGCCATATTCTATCTACTTCAGTGGGGCCCAAATTTGTAGCCCTAAACCCTAAATCCTAGTTTGCCATTTCGCCAGGCTTGAGCTTACTGGAACGCGCACCTTAGCTGTCCTAGTGGGTAATCTTCTCCTCATTGGGCTAAGGTTTTGAACAGATAGGGGGGGGGGCCTAGGATTTTTCGTGGTTCGAGTTTGAAGGTTTTGGGGTGAGGGTGTTAGGATTTTATCGTCAAGGGGCTAGGCTTTAAGTGTTAGGATGTAGGGTTGAATGGTTTATGGATTAGGCTTTAGGAACGCAAAAAGGTTACCGAAATGGTTGATACAGAACATGGTGCCAGTTTAGCTTGTTTTCAGGTTCTGAAATTCAGATAGAGCGTCTGGCAACTAAGGCACGTACAACATCATCCTGCCTGTGGCCCTCTCCTCGTTCACTGCCTTAGCGGCCGCTGGGTTAAACGCGAGTTTAGGGTTTTAAGGTGCACGATTTTTTGTAGTAAAGCCTATACAGGTATTATGGGATTTCTAAGCACCTCCTCCATGCCGCCTACAATTTGGTCCTCGGCAGTTGCCTGAAAAAGCCATGCCTGAGGTTTCCAACCACCTTTTCCCGCCTATACTCGAGCAGATCCTGCATCAGGCCTGCCTGTTTCCAGCATTCAGGGGATTGCTTAGTAATGTAGGCCCAGGATTACACCCCTCCCTCGGCCTTGGTATTAGGATCCTTTTTATGATCCCTTAGAAGGGGAGGGGGTGTATTGTATAATCAAGGGTTTACATTACTGTTGATACTGTTGATGGACGAAGTCCTTGAAATCCTGCATCACCCCCAGTCTGTCGAGTCTTGGAAGCCCAGCAAGCCCAGCATCCTTTAATTGGGGAATATACCTTAATCATATTAGGGGTCCAAGCATCACTTAATCCTAAACCCTAAATCCTAATCCCTAAGCCCTAAACCCTAAATCCTAAACCCTAAATCCTGAGTGGTGCAAGATTTCCTCCATCCATTGTGCATGACCTTAGCACACTTTGAAGCCCCTGATTCACAAGGGGTGTCGAGGGTTTAGGGCTTAGGATTTAGGATTTAGGGTTTAGGGTTTGGGGTGACGTCACCCTAAACCCATACATCAATTTGGAGGTCTAGGGCCGATCTGTTATACCCCTCTTCATCCCCTCCCGTAGTAAACCTTCCCATCCCCTAAGAATGAGCATTCCCTCCCCATTACCTGATGGTACTAAATTCGGCCTCTTCATTGTTAAGGGGTTGGGGTGGGGAGTTATTCTTGGCTCGTTAAAGCCTTATACTCTACATCGCAGTAGTTTCCACCTTTGTCCATGCCCTACCCCATATAAGCCCCCGGAAACAGAGATGATGCTTGTATTTATAACTTGGGAACTGCCCCCCAATCAGTAGTCGGAGAATAATTGTAAAAAGAGTTTTTGAAGGCCTTAAAGACCATTAACTGTACACTGTTACTGGGTGGGGGCACCGTAAAACCCTAAAACTCTGAAATCCTCAACCCTGAACCCCAAACCCCTAAACCATCCTAAACCCTTAAACCTGGGGATCGGGGTTTGGGGCGGGCTGCATGGGATGAGGCTTAAGGATCTGAAGCCAGAGCCCCTGGTCGCTGAACCCGAACCCGTCCATAACAGGCTAATGCCAGGACTACCTGTGACTCCAGTTACCTACAGTTTAGTAGTAGTTACGCCTTAATGAGCAGGTATAACCCATAAAACTGTAGGTAATTGGGGTCACATGTATCCCTAAACAACTAACCCAATCCCTTAACTCTATACCTTAAATCGCCAATTGGGATGAGGCGATGGTTTTCATGAAGTTTATTGGGTTCTCAAGATGGAGTTGTTGTAGGGTTTTCCCTGCGCCTACATGATACCACACGTACCTTAAGTACACACACGAAGGAAACACCCCCCATTACCCTACAGAACCAAAACAGGACTGTCGCTATTCCCTAGAGTTCCATGGTCCAATTTACACAGCCAGGAGCCTGCCGCACAGTATACCTGGGATCCTAATCAGGATCACTTTCCGCTCCCCAAGGGTCCAAGTACCTAATACTTGTAAACTTGCCCAAAACCTGTACTAAAATCATTATTACCCAAAACCCAAGTACCTAATTATTGGGTACATGGACCCTTAAGGTTTTTAATGTTCTAGAAGACCTTTCTGTCGATTTCAATGGCGCAGCTCGAGCTCGATGCTTTGAGAAACCCAACACGCAAAACCCCATACCCCTAGTCCTAAACCCCGTAAAAAAAAGTCCGGTAAAAAAGCAACCCGTACATCTTCCCAAATCCTAAGCACGAATCCTACACCTTGAGTTCTACACCCGAAGTCCTGAACGCCAAATCCTAATCGTATGCCCTAAATCCTACACTGCAAGCCCCAAACTCCAAATCCTGAATCCTGTACATCATGTACTTGAAGGCTCATGGAACTCAGTAACTGCATATAGCTGGTCTAATACCCTGATTCAGAATCCCCCTAGCTCGACCTATGTTGTTTACTCCAAGTATAAGCAGGGTGGAAAGGCCCCCAGCTATGAGTAGTTACTAAGTGCCATGAAACTATAGATCCCTATAACCCCTTTCAAGGGACCCAGTTACCCTAAACCCTAAACCGCTATAAGTAGCTCGCCTACACCCTAAACCCTACCTAAACCCCAAAAGTATATAAAATGATAGCTCTAAACCCATAATAATAGCCATTAAGGCCATTATTTTACATACTTTTGGGACCCTGTATATAAAACCCCATTATAGTAGTTTCCATTTTCTTTTCCATTATCCCAATGTTACCCCAATATACCCCTAAACCCTAAACCCTAAACCCAATATAACCCTAAAGCCCGAACCAAGGCCGTCCTGTAGTGACACATCTGATTGCACAAACCTCGCATGTCGGTTTTCCCGGTCCATGGAGGATGGTATCGACTTAGAGGCCGTGGCCGAGTTGGCGGAGTTCGCTGACGACGAAGAGCTAAGACCTCCGGAAGCATAGTCTGGCTTGCTGTTCAGGAACTTAAATTAAGTTACTATATTGAGGAAACCCTTTTATTTACTATATATACCCATTATGGTAACTTAATTTTCGTTCCTTAACAGCAACCCAGTAGTTTAGGGGTTTCAGGGTTGTAGGGTTTTAGGATGTAGGGTTTGAGGGCTTAGGCTTCTAGAACTTAAGATTTTATGGGTTGAAGGTTTAAGATCTGTTTCTCCTTATTATGGGGACCCCAAAAAGTTACTCCTAATTTTGGGAAACCCCCACTTCCTCATACAGGAGAAGGCGGAAAGCATCCTCCTTGTCGGAAGACCTAGACACAGGGAAAAGCAGCAGAAACCCTAAACCCTAAATCCTTTTAATGTTCCAGCCTTTCCTGCAGGCCTGAAGGCACGATCAGCACGTGAGCATGATTGTGTCAAACCCTAAACCCCGTGGGGGTATGAGCTTAGGCGTTTCACCGTAAACCCTTTCAAGCCAACTTACAAGGTTTAACCATGAGGCTCTTAACCCCCCAAAGTTTTACGGGTTAGGGCTTAGCGATTAGGGAATCCCAAAATTCGCACTTGAAACGCCGAAACCTAAACCAGTCATGTCCCTAAACCTTAAACCCTGAACTATGAAGCCCAAAGCCTGTACCCTATGCCCTAATCCCTGAACTCTGAACCCTATCCCACGAACAACGCCTTGAATCCTTAAACCCTAAACCCTAAGTTGTAGTTTCCATTTACTCTTGCATTCCCTCATTGATATCCCTACAAAAACCCCTTCTTGAACCCGTAGCCCTGTATGAACCTACACAAGGCTATACAACCCTAAACCCCTAAACCCTAAACCCCTAACCCCTCAACTCCTAAACCCTAAACCCCTAACCCCTCAATCCCTAAGCCCTAAACCCGAAACCCTAAATCCTAAACCCTAAACCCTAAACTCCTAAACCCTAAATCCTTCAGCAAAGGCATGCGGGATCTCGAGGAGTCCGAGGCTCGAAGCACAGGAAGCTTCAGCGAGAAGCATGACAGCCAGGACAGAAGGGCTAAGGATTTGGGTGTGTATGGGCTTTAGGGTGTAGGGTTTTGTGGTTTGGGGGTTTTGAGGTTTAGGGTTTACGGGTTTAGGGTGTAGGGGTTTAGGGTTTAGGGGTTGAGGGTTTAGAGGTTTAGGGGTTTAGGGTTTAGGGTTAGATAGCGAGTATGTAGGGATTACGTAGCCATCATGTAGAGGCCAGAGAGGGTTTATGTAGGGATTATATCGGGACTATGTAGGGATTATGTAGGCATTATATAGAGACTATGTAGGGATTTTACGTGGATTGGACTATACAGGGATCAAATAGGGATGATG